GAGAACCTAGCATCACAAAACTCAAAGCACATGTATGGAAGGTTAAAGCACCCCCGAAGATGTGTCATCTTATGTGGCAGGTCATAACAGGCCATGTGGCTGTAACGAGTGCTTTGAATCATCGACACATTAGATGTGATAACTTTTTGCCCACGATGCGGTGAACTGGAAGAAACAATTGCATATGAAATTTTTCAATGTCCACCGGCATTACAGGTGTGGACCCTAGCGTCTATACCCACCAGCTCAACTTTATTCCCTCTGGAGAGTACATACGCGAATATGGATTACCTGTTCCGGAGGAAGAAGGCCATAAGTAGGCCAGAATTAGACAGGGACCCTTATCCTTGGCTAATATGGTACATTTGGAAGGCTCGGAATGATAAGTTGTTCAAAGGAATTGATAGAGACCCTCTAGAACTAGCCCGGTATGCGGAGAGTGAGTGTCTTGTCTGGTTTCAAGCCAATGAGCAGGATATTGTGACATCACAAGAAAACAGAGATGCTGAAAGTCAGGCCATAAGCTTACAAGATATTTGCATGATAGACGGTTCTTGGACCTCTAAAGATCAATTTTCAGGTTGTGGCTGGGATTGGAAGGACAGTACGGGAAGAAGTCAGCTGATGGGTTTGCGTAATATTAGCAGGATGGAGTCGGCTTTGCATTCGGAGCTAGAAACACTAAGGTGGGCAATGGAGAATATGCTTCAACATTCGCCATGTCAGCGCGTTGGGACGGATTGCAAGGAATTGATAGGGATGCTCACAAATCCCCATGGATGGCCAAGATTTTCGACGGAACTGGAGAGACTCTTGATGCTGAGGATTTGTTTCCCAGACTTTAAGATTGTCTACGTACCTAGATCTCAAAATGTTGTGTCCGATCATTTAGCTAGGACTGCTCGATCCTTTTATCGAGAGATGTTGTATGTTGGTTGTTTTATTCCGGTCTGGATTCCCAGACCACCTCAAGCTTGAGTAATAGATTAGCCTTTCGTTGTCAAAAAAAAAAACCCAAATATATTAGATGATAAAGTCAAACAAATAATCCTAAACTTAGGATATGATCTATAAACACTACAACCAAACAAGCTCATAAACACAACACCACCAGGACAGATCTTTTTAAAAAAAAAAAAAATTCGCCAACAGCAGCAATCCATCCCAACATTTGGTAATGAAAACACACAAAATCAACATCTCCGCGCTTGCGTGGGGCTTGGCCCTAGTATATTCTAAATATAACTCTTTATCCATTTTTTTCTTGAATAAACCTAAAGTGTAAAACACAAATGAGACAAATAACCTAGTCAATTAAAATTAACCATTCAAGACAAATATAATGAAATTTACTAATTACCTTATTCAAAATTTATTGTTGTAAAAAAGTAGAAGAAACTTACTAGGAAAAATTCAACTACTAAGTTACCATCGGTAATCTTTTCACCATGTTGCCAAAGAGTGCCGGTCATTGGACAAGCATAATATGTAAATTTCCATATTTCTCTCTAAAACTTAAGGCTTGATTATGAAACATGTTTTCCAATAATCCCTAATTATCTGACTTTTTTTATTAGTGTTTTGAAACTTGACCCGGATCTGTGGTTGAACCGGTAAATCTGGTGACCCAGAAAAAATTCAGTTTGGGTTTTCTGAAAAACCCAATATTTAATAACCTGCAAAAAATCGTGAAATCCCACTAAAACTCAAAATACGATACCGGTTGAACCACCGGTTTAACCAATAGATAATTTTTATTTTTTTTTAGTATTGATTATGTTTTATATTCTAACTTTCCAATTAAAAAGTTAAGTTTCACTTTTCAGTTTCATATTCGTGATTTTTAGATTTTGATGAAGATTTCACTATAACACCTGAAGAAAATGAAGTGAACAATGGTAGAAAAATCAAAATTATGTGATTTGGTGTTAGTTTATTTTTTTTATTGATAATTTATTACAATAATGTTTTGTTTTTGGTTTATTTTGAGTTTGAAGTTTAATTTATTAATTACATTAGACATTTAAGTATTTATGAACTTTATGTCTTGATTTCTTTTTAGATGTCATAACTCTTAGTTGTTATAAAAAATTAAATAGTCTAAACTATTTTTGATATTTTGTATGTCAAATGAAAATAAATATATAAGAAAAAAGTTTAATATTTTCTAAATGTTTTTAAACATAAAATATATACATATCTGAAATATTATTTTAAGTTTTAAAAATGTTTAGAAAATGTTTACCCGTGATCGATCCAGTGATTTAGTGACCAAGTAAATCGTCTGGTTCAGTCTCCAGATCAGGTTTAAAAACATTGCGAAAAAGAATAGAATCAATTTGTATTCAAATCAACAGGAAGTGAAACCAATTTGACAACAACAAAAAATGATTTTTTTACTTCCTAGACGCTTTTCATCTTATATATTACACAAGGAGACACATCATGCTGGTAAAGAACTTTATGACTGATTATTGTCTATCATACCCTTAGTCGTGACCAGACCCAAGTAACTTAACTAGAGAAAGCTAACCATGATTCTTTTTTTTAATGGTTATCAACATATCATGAGTTCACAATTCATTTTCTGTCGAAAATAATAAAACAAACCCAATCCACTTTCACTTTCCTAAATTCTCAACCCTAATTTATTTTTTTTATCTTTCTCTTTCTTGTTACGACTGCAAAGAAGAAGTTCAAAAAGAAGAAAAAATCCAAGGTGACACAGATTTCAGACTCACGGTGAAGCTGCGGTAGTTGAATTCCGAACTCAACATCGTCATGGATGAGCTCACCATGCTCAGATGCGGTGGTTCGAGCTCCTCGTCATGCTCAGCTGCGGTGGTTTGAGCTTCCTTTACCACAAGATCTGTTGTCCAAATCGGCTCCTCGCTGTCCTCACTCATCTCTGTGAAGTCTATTCCATCATCTCGCTGAAGCTGTGGTGGTTCGATCTTGGAGTCGCCATCGAAGAAAGCTCGATTGCATTTCCAGTCAAGAATCATGCATTTGCATATTTGGTCCTTGTATTGTAAGTTTTTGAGTTTGCCCCCAAAATTTCCAAATGTTCAGATTTGTTTTTTGAACTAGTCCCAAAATTTAGAATTATACACTATAGTCCTACTTTATGTTCTTTACATATAAAAAAAAAAGCAAAATCAATGTATTTGTTGTCCATACGTTTTACGTATTGTATGTTCTTTAAATTTTAATATTAAAGATATGCCCTTTAATTAGTTAAATAATTTATGAAGTTTTGAATAAAAGTGTTATGTACAATATAGATCAAATTTATAATATAATATATGTATAAAAATGGTTTATTTTAATATTTTTATATCAATTATAATATTTTTAACTTTAATATATTATTAATTAGAATTTATTGGTCTTATATTTTTGTGGACATTGAAAATATGGATAAAAATTACATCGGTCAAAAAGTATGTGGATGAAAGAATTGTGTACATGTGAATTGTATTAAACTTTATATTTTTTTACGTCCACACATGTATACACATAATAGCCATCCCACTAACATCTATCGACATAATCACACATAAATGTTCATGCTTTGTTTCTCTCCCACATTTTCCATCAATGTCCACATTTTCTACGTCCATATTTTATCGTCTATGTCCACATATTTTATATAAATATTAAAATATTAAAAAAATATTGAAAATGGATGTTGAAATATAAAGAATATTTTTTATTTAGTGTAATAAATAACTCATTTTTGTCTATTAACCCACAAATTTAAACACTTTAAAGGATTGATAAAATAAATATGTATCAAAAGAAAATCACTTCAATTCCTTTTACAATGACACAGAACACTTCTCCTTTTTAATAAGAGTATAATTTGTCCAGATAATATGTCCATCTTATCAAAATATGCTTCACATGTGGATACTGACAACATTTTAAAATAAAAAAAAACTAACTAGACTTGTTTTTCTTAACTAAACAAAAGGGGTATGTGTGTAAATTACATAAGGTAGAAGAGGAGAATGTGTGTCTCCAGCGGAAAGTGTCCTATCATGTCAAAAAAAGAGAAAAAAGTGTCTCATTCGATAATCAACTCCTATCATGTCAAAAAAGAGAAAAAAAAGTGACCCAGTAAATCTGGTTCAGTCTCCAAATCATGTTTAAAAACATTGGGATAAAGAATAGAATCAATTTGTATTCAAATCAACGGGAAGTGAAACCAATTTGACAACAACTAAAAAATTGACAATCGAAATTGGACAGATTATGCCGTTGACTTGTGTTTTTTTCTCTCTAGAATAATAAGCGTGTGGTTGGTTCTTTTTAAACTAGAAAACAGAAAATGACATTGACTAACACAATAATAATATAATTGTTATTATATTTACTAAATTATTGTCTGAATAGGAAAAACATCATCTCTGAACGACTCTCATTGGTATATTTGCCTGTTATTAAGAATCTTTGATTGAATATGATTAGAAAAGTATTTATTTGTTGTCCGTTTTAATTTTACTGTATTATTTTGGTGTAACTTGAAGTTAGATTTTTTTTTTTTTTTTGTAACACAACTTGAAGTTAGATAGTAATAATAAAACCAGAGCATAGGTGGCCTTGAATTTGTGGGGGTGCACTCTCCATTTCCCTTGGTTTCTCTTGATCAAGAAGAATCCCAATTGCACTATGCAATATAATATAGTCGAAGAAGAATGCGTCATAAATTTGATATTGTAAGAATAGTAAATGTTGAGGAGTTCGTCTATAGATTTATCTTTGACCAAAGGCCTTTGTTTTGATTTTTAAAAATGACTATAAAATTGAATTTTTATAGTTTCTAAAATAAATAAACCGAAGAAATGTTGAGGAGTTCGTCCCCAAAACATCTCCATTGTCCGAACTCTGATAGAACTAAGTAATAAAAACTAAACTCAAGTCTAGGTGGTAAGCAGATCACACATCTTTCCCCGTTTTTTTTTCAACATTCTCCATTTTTAAACTGGTGGGAAGAGATGTCATCGGCGCCGTCTCCGAGTGCTACTCCGTTACCTCCTCTCCCGCCTATCGTCATTCCTCCTTTACCTCCCTTGACACCTCCTCCTTCGCCGCCTACCGCCGATCCTCCTACAACTCCCGTGATACCTCCTCCTCCGCCTCCTACCGCCGACCCTCCTCCGCCTCCTACCGCCGACCCTCCTACAACTCCCTTGCCGCCGCCTCCTCCGCCGCCATCCCCCGATTTGACGCCTCCACCTCCGTCTTCTCCCTTCCCGCCTTCTCCTCCGCCACCGTCTCCCGCCACTCCAACTCCTTTGACCCCTTCTCCGCCATCCCCGTCCACCGATCCAACATCTCCGCCTCCGCCTTCTTCACCTCCGTCTCGCCCATCTCCCTCCACACCCCCTCCGCCTCGGCCGGTGACTCGGACCCCTCCACCACCTCCAGCGAGTCCCTCGGGCAGAGGATCTCCTAGTACTCCATCTATCCCCTCAGGCTTTTCTCCACCGCCTCCGTCTTCCTCTCCCAAAGGAGGATTATCAACGGGAGTGGTGGTTGGAATCGCCATAGGAGGAGTAGCTCTGCTTGTAGCATTGACTTTGATTTGTTTCTTGTGTAAGAAGAAACGACGCAGAGATGTAGAAGCACCTCGTGGTCCCAACGGTAAAACAAAATTTTCATTTACACTAAACCAAGAAATCTAATCTTGAACCATATTTTCCTCATTTTTTATGATTTATCTACATTTTCTTGTTTCTAAATTAAACATATTAATATGCATTGTCTGAATATAAGGATCTAATTTTTTTTAGATGTTTTCAAACTTGTTATTAGAGAAATAATTTCAAGATTTCATGTCCCACTGTTATCTCAGGCCGTTACGGTGCACAGAAGCAACAAAACGCATCACAACCATCAGATCACAGGGTGACGTCACCGCAACCACAAAACCCTCCCTCGGCGCCACCACGTCCGCGGGGTTTCATGAGCAGCAGCAGCAGTGGTGACTACGACTCAAACTACTCGGATAATGCAGTTCATCCTCCACCATCTCCAGGGATTGCATTAGGCAGCTATCAAGGCACTTTCACTTACGAGGAGCTAGCTAGAGCCACCAACGGATTCTCTGAGGCCAATTTGTTAGGGCAAGGCGGGTTCGGATACGTGTACAGAGGTATATTGCGTAATGGTAAAGACATTGCTGTGAAACAGTTGAAAGCTGGGAGTGCTCAGGGAGAGAGAGAGTTTCAGGCAGAGGTAGGGATCATTAGCCGAGTTCACCATAGGCATTTGGTTGCTCTTGTCGGTTATTGCATCGCGGATGCTCAGAGATTACTTGTCTATGAGTTTGTTCCTAACAACACTCTCGAGTTTCACCTCCATGGTTAGAAAAATACTAAATTTTTCTATGATTTTGTATATTCTATGCTTTAATGTTTACTATTAGTGATGTTTGTTTTCTTGGGGGATTGAACTTGTTGTGACAGGGAAGGGACGGCCTCCGATGGAATGGAGCTCAAGATTGAAGATTGCTGTTGGTTCTGCCAAAGGATTGTCCTATCTTCATGAAAATTGTAAGTACTATACATATATGGTTTAACTGTTTAAAATACACAAGTAATCTTTGCTTGTTCGTCACGCATGTAAATATATTTGCAGGTAATCCTAAAATCATCCACCGTGATATCAAGGCGGCAAACATATTGCTTGATTTCAAGTTTGAAGCAAAGGTATAATTTATCTTTTCTTATATATATATATATATTACATGTATGTAACTTAGCACTGTATTTAGTGAAGTTTATTTGTATTTGTGTCACTAAACCTCTCTTCTATCTTTTAGGTTGCTGATTTTGGTCTTGCCAAGATTGCTTTGGATACAAACACTCATGTATCTACACGCGTGATGGGAACTTTTGGGTAAAAGATAATCTTCAAGCTAAATACGTACATATATACAGTTTGCAAAGTGTCTTCAAATCCTTGTTATATTTGGTTTTTTAGGTATTTGGCTCCGGAATACGCTGCTAGCGGAAAGCTCACCGAAAAGTCTGACGTTTTCTCATTTGGGGTTGTACTTTTGGAGCTAATAACTGGGCGTCGCCCTGTTGATGTAAACAATGCAGATGCAGATAACAGCTTGGTTGATTGGGTAATTAATATAAATACAATCGCAACTTTCACATTATTTGTTGTACTCTTTGACGGCTGATTAAATCAAAATCTATGTGTAAATATTCGAGCAGGCACGACCGTTGCTTACAAGAGCTCTTGAGGAAAGCAACTTTGAAGGTTTGGTTGATCCAAAGCTGAACATTGAGTACGATAGAGAAGAGATGGCTCGGATGGTTGCTTGTGCTGCCACTTGTGTTCGCCATTCCGCTCGTCGCAGACCTCGCATGGACCAGGCAAGTCGATCATGCTTTTCTTTTAGCGGCTTTTTGCTTTTCAAATATGTATACTTAAAGTCAAAAGTTTTTGGCCGTAAATACACTTATTACAAAAAAATATAAATATACGTAATTAATTATAATTAAAATTATTTGTAGTATAGAAACGGACCTGACCAAATATTGGTCATTTAAAATGTTGATAATAATGCCTAATCGAATGAGTGATTGTGTCAAAAAACGAGCAGGTTACGCGTGTGCTAGAAGGAAACATATCGCCGTCAGATTTGAACCAAGGGATCAAACCGGGTGAAAGCAATGTATATAGCTCACATGGAGGAAGCACAGATTATGACATGAGCGAAGATAATGAAGGCATCAACAAGCTTAGGAAAAGGGCACATAAAACTCAAGAGTATAGTGAAAGCAGTGAGTATAGTAATCCAACTAGTGAGCATGATTTGTACTCGATCGGTTGGAGCTCTGAGGGTCGGACCACACGGGAAATGGAGACAAACACTAATAAAAGAAGCGGTCAAAGTTATGGTGGACGCTGATATCTCTCTCTTTTAAGGGAAAAATTGCTGATTATTTGATTTTTTTTGAAAAAAACTGGAAATGGCTTAACTCTAATTGAACTAGGGTCTATCTGATACCGGATGCATTCTTCAGCAGAAAAGAACAAGAACTATTCTTCTTTCATTCTTTCCTTTGTTGTTGTTTTTGTTTTTGTTTCTGAGTTTGATCTCTGATTTAGCTGGTTCTTTTTGAAGAACTTGTTCTTGTTGTATGGTGCATACGTATTTTCAATTTCACATGTTCTAACAAACTACTCTTTTTCATTACTCACTATCGTGATGGCTTTTTCATTAATCACTATTATGTATATAGGGTGAAGGGCACTACACAAAAAAAAAAGGTATTCACACTAACTCAGTAATGTCGATCGTTCTTCTCATTCAAACTCACACCATTAAGAGAATGGATGGGTGCAACCGTGTGTTATGAATCAGAACAATGAACTCTCTTTTTGTTGATATTGAGAAGTACAAAAGCAATTACAAATATCTAGACCTCATAGCAGTCAACGTTGACTCATCACGTCAAACAAATATTTGAATTACAAATTGCATAAAACTCAAGCTAAACACACTCCAACTATTTATAGCATCAACTCTTCATATCAACGACTCCACTTATCCCAACTGCTTATCTCTCAACCTCTTATCCCANCATAGCAGTCAACGTTGACTCATCACGTCAAACAAATATTTGAATTACAAATTGCATAAAACTCAAGCTAAACACACTCCAACTATTTATAGCATCAACTCTTCATATCAACGACTCCACTTATCCCAACTGCTTATCTCTCAACCTCTTATCCCAACTGCTTATCTCCCAACCTCCTTTCTTCTAACTGCTTATCCTCTAACTGCATCTCACTTAACATCTCTCCAGCTGATCTCTTGTTTCCCCTATAATAGGTACGCCACGGCCTATCAATACCCCCCCGAACAAAGATTCAGCTTGTCCTCAAGCTTAGCATCTGGAAACGCTTTCACAGCCTCCGATATACGAACCCATGAAGACTCATGGTCCGGCAATCCTCTCCACTCAATGACTAACTCATCCTCCACTGATAACACCGTTCGTAACGGCATAACCACATGGTCTTTACCCAACACCTGTTTCAGTTGTGAAACGTGGAACACGGGATGTATACGAGATTCGACTGGCAACTCCAAACGATATGCTGCATTCCCCACCTTAGCCAACACTCGAAATGGACCGTAATATCGTGCAGCCAACTTTTTTACACAGTCTCTTAGTCACTGAGTTCTGTCTGTAAGGACGCAACTTCAAGAACACCAAATCATCTTCCACAAATTGTAAATCTCGCCTATGCTTATCGGCATTATTCTTCATAAGTTGTTGCGCCTGTAACAAATGAGACTTAATGTCCGTAAGCAACACATCACGCTCTTGTAACGATTTCTCTAACTCAAAGTTCCCCGTAGATCCTCATTCATAACAGAGCAACTGAGGAGGATCTCTGCCATATAACACCTTAAAGGGAGAACACTGAATATAGGTATGAAAGCTAGTATTATAAGAATACTCAGCCCAAGATAAGTATGTGAACCATTTCTTCAGATGTGCTGAAGTAAGGCAATGAAGATAAGTCTCTAATCCCCTGTTCAACACCTCAGTCTGACCATCCATCTGAGGATGATACGCAGTGCTGTACTTCAGCTTCGTACCCGCCATTCTAAAACATTCACGCCAAAATGAGCTCAGAAATATCCGATCTCTATCAGAAACAATGGACTGTGGAAACCCATGAAGCTTGACGATCTTTGCTATAAAGAGTTTAGCTACGTCAGCTGCTGAGAAGGGATGTTTCAGTCCCAAGAAGTGCCCATACTTGCTCAAACGATCAATGACCACTAATATCACATTATGACCTGAAGATAAAGGCAACCCTTCGACAAAGTCTAGTGAAATATCTTCCCACACTCTCTCTCTGGAATCGGTAAAGGCTGTAGTAAACCTGCAGGGCATAATGTGGAATACTTATGCGTCTGACAGATCATACATTCTCCCACAAATTTTTTAATATCCTTCCCCATTTGTTCCCAGTAAAACGCTTTCTGAATTCTTTTCTTTGTACGCAGAACTCCACCATGGTCACCAATCACACTAGAATGGAACTCTTGCAAAATGAGTGGAATAAAGGAAGGATTTCTCGGAATCAACAATCTTCCTTTGTAATGCAAGCGTCCATTCTTCATGTTATAACCTGGTTTCCTCAGCTCTCCTTTTAACAACTGATCACGCAACGCCTATAAGTGATCATCAACCTCAATCTCTTTGTAAAGATCCTGCAACTGAAGAGATGAAGGTATTGTTAAAGCCAGAAGTTCTTGAGAGTGGAAGTCAACAGACATGAAGGACATCCGTGACAGCCCATCAGCCGTTGTATTATCAATTCCTGGCTTATGAATAATATCGAAGTCGTAACCCAAGAGTTTTGATAACCAACGTTGATAATCCATGGATACTTCCCTCTGCTTCAACAAGTATTTCAAACTTTTTTGATCTGTTCTCACCACAAAACGTCTCCCCATTAGATAATGCTTCCACTTAACCACTGCCTGGACAATCGCCATGAGTTCTCTCTCATAAACTGGTTTTAGTTGTTCACGAGCTGTTAACCCCCGACTAAAGTAAGCCACTGGTCTCTCATTCTGCATCAGTACCGCACCGAGGCCAAAACCAGAAGCATCGGACTCCACAACAAATATTTCTGAGAAGTCCGGTAAGACCAACACAGGTGCCGATGTCATTGCTAATTTCAGAGACTCAAAAGCTGATTGAGCTCTTGGTGACCACTCAAAGAGATCCTTCTTTAGTAACTCAGTGATAGGACATGCAATGGTCCCATAGTTTTTCACAAATCGCCTATAGTAACCAGTGAGACCTAAAAAACCCCGAAGCTCTTTAATGGTCTTAGGAAAGGGCCACTCCACCACAGCCTTCGTTTTGCTCGGATATGTTGCAACTCCCTTCACTGAAATGATATGACCCAAGTATTCAATAGAATTTTGACCAAACGAACATTTCTTTTTGTTAGGAAACAGTTTCTGTTTATGGAATACATCCAGTACTTGTTGCAAATGACCCATGTGATCTTCCAAGGATGAGCTGTAGACGAGGATATCATCGCAGAATACCAGCACAAAGCGTGTTAAAATGGTCTGAATATCTCATTCATAAGAGCCTGAAATGTGGCTGGCGCATTCATCAATCCAAAAGGCATGACGAGAAACTCGTAATGGCCATCCATAGTACGAAATGCAGTCTTCATGACATCCTCAGGACGCATTCTAATCTGATGATAACCAGAACGCAGGTCCAATTTAGAGAAAAATTTGGCGCCATACAGCTCATCTAACAGTTGGTCAATGACAGGAATTGTAAACTTATTAGGTATAGTTGCTCTATCAAAGCACGATAATCCACACAAAACCTGAACGACTTGTCCTTCTTCTTCACAAGTAAAACAGGGCTTGAAAATGGACTACGGCTTGGCCTGATGATTCCTGTATCCAGCATCTATTTGACCATCTGTTCCATTAGTTCTTTCTGAGCGTGAGGATACCGGTAAGGACGCACACTGGTTGGGCCACAATTGGGGAATAACACAATGGCATGCTCGTGGCCTCTCACAGGTGGTAACCCTTGCGGTATATCAAAAATGTGTTCATTCCTTTGAAGCACCCCCCATTAGCTCTACATGAACATTTTCCTGTACCGTCACTTCCACATTATTCAACTCCTGCCAATAAGTTCGTGTTTCTTGAAAGCGGTCATGGTGCAACATTTGTAAAGCTGGTAATTCATGTAATGTCCGATCTCCTCTGATTGTCACCCAAGACCCTTTATGTACGAAAGAGAACTCCTGATCCTCCCAATCAACTAAGCATTTTCCCAAAGTTCTTAGCCACTGAACACCCAACACCACGTCGATATTTCCCAATTCCAGAGCGATAAAATCCGAAGTAAACTGCAACTCCTCGATCCCAAACTGTAACTCGTGAAACACTCCCATTCCTTTCACAGATACTCATGTTCCCAATGTAATATCCCACTCTGGTGTAGTCACTGGTACAATCTTTAGCCTAGCCATTACTGATGGTGAAGCAAAATTATGAGATGCACCACTATCCAATAGCATCACCACCTCTGCTTTCCCAATTTTTCCTCGAACTTTTGTTGTTGTTGGAGATGAAATTCCCATAAAAGTGTTGAAGGATAATGTCATAAGCTCCGGTTGATTGTCTGTGATTGTCTCCTCCTGTGCATCCAACGTCTCAATCATGTTTTCTTCCAACACTTCCAATGCTAATCCATTGACCACCATCATAATCTGCAACTGAGGACTCGTACACGGATGATTCTTAAACCACTTTCCTTTGCACTTAAAACAGATGCCTTCTCTTCTCATTCTGTCCAATTCTTCATCAGTATGGTATTGTCGAGGTCTCAATAAAGGTTTATCCAGACGACCTTTATCTGCAGCATTGTCAAGTGGTTCTCCCTGTCTAGCCTTATCAGAAAGTAGCACACTGCGCTTCTGAAACCCTGTGTTATGTTGGTAAGAATTCCCTCTAGATCCTGCGGTTTTCTCTGAACTCATCACTTTGCAGAAGTTGGTACTTTGCATTTTTAAAACCGCCAATTTATGATAGTCAATCCTCTAGGTTCTTTCATGCGAATCACCTCCTTCATCTCTGGCTTGAGACCATTGTAGAAAACCTTGATCAAATTATTCTCATCAATTCCTGTGACCTGATTCCGCAAAGCTTCAAACTCACTGACATACTCTGTTATTTCTCCGGTTTGTTGTAGACAGAAGGCGAGCCGCTGGTTCATCGTCGATAGATCCTGCAAATCTGTCCAACAACCTATCTGTAAACTGTTGCCAACTGACAAACGGATCGCTGACCACTTCACCATTAAACCAATTCAATACTGCCCCCTCCAAACTCAA